ACTGCTCTAAATAATATACTAAATTACTAAGGTGGAAACTTAATATTCCCCTGAATATAGAATGTTTAGTCCATTTTACATGGTTTCTTGATTATCTTGTAACCAATAGGGAGTAATTATTGCAGAACCCATGGACTCTTTTTGCTAACAACAAATGCACACCACAGCTAGTTTTATAAATATGTATATATATTATAATACAGCAACACCCATAGTGTTTTTAATTTATACCACTTTGCATTAATGTAGACATTTCAAAGCTCTCCTTTGTACTCTCTGTTATCAACATCTTTTACTTCTTTTGAAGTCTGTGTGATATACATAAAAGCAATTAAAATCTTCCCCCATTTGGGGTTAGGGACACAAGGTCTTCTTAATTAAAACTCAAACAAAAGCTACTGGCAAGAATTCCTACTATATGATTAAGGTCTAAAGTATTATGATACATTAGAATCATTGTTAACTGTTGGGATTAAAAGAAATCAATATGTTGGGGAAAAGATCAGTTGAATCTAATTAGTGAAATCAATGTTTACATAAAAGAAAACACTGAAGTTTAATAACAGGTTCTGATTATAAATAAACACTGGCTAAAATTGTTCTTTGTTATTATTACACTGACCACATAATCATATTTTGAATTCATTGAAAAAGAATCTGAAACTTACTGTTTGTAGTTAATTATTATAATTAAAAGTGTAAAACAAAAAGTCATACCTTATTTCAAAAATTTCAATTATAAAATGTTCTTATATGTGAAAATAGTCACCAATTATAAAATATTTTTATTGATTTTGTTTTTAAAAGGCTAGTTTTAGCAATAGCTACAGCCTAGAGTGGGTAAGGAGGCAAAGCTGGATTAAAGCAAAAACAACCCAAAGTATTCTTACACAATTATGATTACATTAAATATGTATTAGTCTATTTGGTAACATATTGAAACAAAAAGGAATATGTCTTGATATAATACAAAAACAAGACATTTCACTTTTTTTTCCTGATTGCTGTGATGAAAATAAACATAGCTAACATGGAGAAGAAAAACTGTTACTAATTGAAGCTTAGATTTTAAGTAAAATGAAGGTCATTAGCAATTTCCTGGAAGCCACTCAGATTGCTTACCAGGAAATAGTGGCTAGCAGGACATCTGTAATCGCCCTGTGTGGAATTAGTGAAATCATACTGGAGCTTAAATGATGTGTGTAGATTTATGCTGAGGGGGAAACCTTTCTCTATTAAAGTAGTTAGTATTCTTTGAATACAAACAATTTTTGTTCAGTATTAATGTACAAACCCAGAATTGAAAACAATCATTAACATCTACATATATACATCTCTACATCCATATGTTAATACACACATATAGATTGGATTATGACTCATAGTGGAAAGAGAGATGGCAGGGTAATATCAGAATAATGTGAATCTGTGAGTGAAATATGTTTAGGAAGATTAAAAGAACTTGTCCTATAACTTGGAATGCTGATTTCATAACATTTTGGGGTGGTAAATTTAGTCCCATTTTTGTAGCATTTTCTTATCTCAATAAAGATATGAGAAAAGTTGAGTGTTAAAAATGCCTCTGAGGACATAAACTTAAGTCTGACTTATTCTGCATTGTTATGGGAGAAATGGGGTCATTGATTTAGAGACTTTTAGTCCAGCATCTCTATATTACCTGAATGATTGGTTGGCTTAATGAGGATTAACATCTTTGGAACTATTAAAAATGTCAGAGGAAAACTGAGGAGAGTATATCTGTGCATCAATTTGTGGAGTAAATTATGTATATACATAGAAAAGTACTGGAAGGATATTTAGTAAACTGTTAACAGAGGTTGACTGTGCAGTAGGAAATGAATGATATAGGGTGAGGCTGATTTTTAAATTTTGTGCTGTATAATTTGTACTATAGGATTTTTTAAAGTGATGTATTATGCATTGCCTTTTGAGTAAAAAAAGATTATTTTTAAAAAAGACTGAATAATAAAGATGAATGACTAGTTTTCTTATTTTTACAAAAGAAAATGGATGTACTACCTACTTAGCTTCTGAATTAGATGGAGGGTGTTACAGAGAAAATATGTACTTTATAGGGTGAAATGAAGTAGGGAATCAATAAATGCTACAGTAAGCAACAGCACATCATATTTTAGTACTTGAAACTGGAAATATTTATTTTTTTTTAAATTTTTTTCCCATTTATTTATTTTATTGCGTTTTAGGTTTTGTGGTACATGTGAAGAACATGCAAGATTGTTGCATAGGTACACACGTGGCAGTGTGATTTGCTGCCTTCCTCCTGAGAGATAGCAAGGGGAGAGAGAGAAACTGGAAATATTTAATAGAATGACTAGAACTGAAATTTTCAAATTTTTGACAGGAGACATTTAAAGTCTTAAATTTTTATTGAGGACCCTAAAAAGCTTGGTTTGTGTTTGTTTATATTTATTCTGTAGAAATTAAACCAGAGAAATTTAAAAAGTACTTACTAATTAATTTAAAGCTTATGATATTAAACTTTTTACATAGGGCCAAGTGCAGTGGCTCAGCCCTGTAATGCCAGCACTTTGGGAAGCCAAAGCAAGAGGAATACTTGAGGCTAGGAGTTCAAGACCAGCCTGGGCAACATAGCAAGACCCCATCTCTACAAAAAATTTAAAGATTAACAGTGTGGTGATATGTGCCTGTAGTCTTAGCTACTGGAGAAGCTAAGGTAGGCAGTTCATTTTAGCCCAGAGGTTCAGGGCTACAGTGAGCTATTATGATGGCAGCACAATATATTAACATGTAACAAATTTTTATGAAAAATAGCTGTAACCAAATAACTAAACAAAAACAAATTAATGAGATGAGTGGCATTGGTTTACATTTTTCAGATCTCTTTAATGCATGGGTTAATAGATGTTGGACTCTCATATCTGTTTCTGCATTTAGTCTGCTTTGATAAGCTTTTGATTGAAGTATACGAAGACAACCTGACCTCATTTTGATATGGAGTTAAAGAGAGGAGTATTTTACAACCTTTTAATGTAATTATGAGTATTCTTCTTTGATACTTCACCAAATTTCACAAATGGTAGTTCTTAAAAGTTAGGTCGAGTATAGGATCTGAAACCCTATCAATGAACTTTTCATACTTTTATATTAAAATCTATTTGTTTAACCTTAACAAATAAATCTTTTACTCCATGCATGATTTTGTAACATTGTGTATAACTCTTTTCCTAATGTTGATGCATTTCATTATATAGTATCAGAAAATAGAATTTATTAATATCACCAATCTCATCAGAAACGTCTTTAAAAGTATTTGGAAATTGTCATGCTCTTGATGGCAGATAGAAGTTTTCCAAAACTGTCATTTTCCCTGGAATGAATTATTTTAATCAATACTATCAGTTGCTTTTCTTGAAGTGACAAGCCTCACTTGCCAAATATTGAGATCTGAATAATGATATTTACTTAGTTGTTCTTTCAAATAAGTGTTTTTCTATTCGAAAAGCTTTGATAAAGTTCAGCTTCCAATGCCAATAAAAGCACAAGTGATGGTTTTCCTTGAAACAACTGTTATACTTCTGTGTATAAGAAAAGCGCTTCCTGTTTCATTATATAGATTATTAAAAGCATATGTACCTAAAAGTCACCAGTTAATAAAATTAATAATTTTATTGGTTTCATCAAGGACATTCTTAAATGACATTAGATTTTTTTTGTTTACTTGTTTTATTACAAATGTATGATGGTGAAGGATACAATGACTACAACATTTGATTCCTTTGATTCATGATAAGAAACCAGCAGTTTTACTATTTCATTTGCATAATCAATGCAGATGTCATCACTGTAACATGCAAATGCTGCCTTAGCATTACTATAAAAATTATGAAAATTATTTCAGGGCCACCTTGAATAGTTCTCTGGAACTCCCAGGGATCTAAGAACTGTACTTTGAGAACTGCTGAGCTAGAACCTTAGATTAGCATTTAATTATCTTGACAATAAGTTAATTGCTTAGTAAAACCACAGAGCAACTTAGTCACATTTAAGAGTTCAAAGATTCTATGAAGACTCTGAATGAAGTTGCTGGCTTAAAGAAATTCGTTGCTTTCTTCCCCTGGATCTGCAACTGTGGCATAATAAACATGGACTGTAGAGTTGATCACATGTGGGTACAATAGATACAAATTGATCAGTTTATTTAACCTATTGTACTCTCAACTCTCTAACCTGAAAAGTGGTTTTAAAAAACCATATGCATTTCAGAATTAATGTGAAGTTGAGATGGTAGTTGTAAAGTGACTTACAAAATAGATTCTCAGTAAATAGTTTTCTAGTAGGAATAGGAAAAAGAGTATTTGGATATGTGCCACCAATAGGTAACTGGAACTGTCATTACCTCTTGTATCACAAATTATCTCACAGGAAATGATTAAACATTTATAATACTGAGAGGAAGCCCCAGAAATTGGTATCATCACAAATGTCAAATTTACAGCCTAGTTCATGTCACCAATGCTTGCTCAACCAAAAATGATATTCAATTTTTTGATAATTAAAACATTTTTTGAATAATCTAGGCCTGGTAAATACTAGCCTATTCAGCTTCCTTCCCATCTTATAACAGGTAGTTTAGTTATTATATGCCTCCCAACCCTTTGCAGTATTATTAAATTACCCGGTTTAAGTACAGGCCAAATTTTTTACCTAAAAATGTTATTTTCTTTATAATTTTGCTTCTGGTATCTTGTTATAGTAGTAGCTAAAACATAGAGGTCTTCCTGTTAAAATGTAATATTTCTGGACACATAGTTAATATGAATGTTTTTAGCATAACTGTGATAGTGAGATTTTAATATATATACATTTATTTTAAAAGTTATGAGATTTTTATAATGTTAGTACATACAAAAGTATGAAAACATTTTAAAAGGTTATGCTATTGATATCTGCTGTATTTCACTTTAGCCTTTTTTTTTGAATAAACACATATAGTTTTATATAGTTTAAAAATAGACATTTGTGACATTTATGTATAGCTGATTCTTGAAAGAAAAATGCATGGAATAGTAATTAATCTCTATGCTATTTATAGGCCCAGGAATGCTCTGTGCCTTGCACCCTAGTTGCTAGGATGTGTCCTGGATATTCCTTTAGCTTAGAGTCTGCTCTTGTTCAAAGTCTCAAGGGATAGCTATGTCACATTAGGAAGTGGCCCATAGTACTAGACCTCCCACACACTTATTATTTAGGTCATTTGTCTGAATTTTTAAAAAATTACCAGGCTAACCACTTAATACAATGTGTGTATTTTCATCCAAACGGTATTTTTATGAATAAGGGCCTTGAAATAAGCCTAAATTGTACATTATTGTCTATATTTTTAAATATGTTGCTACTGTTAGTAATTACTATGAGTGCATATTTAATGCACTGGGGAAATTTGATGCAATTATTCCATTTACTTGTGATTTCCTTTCAATCCAAATGTCTGTATTAAAATACTGAAAAAGAAAACTACAGAGAATTTAGGTCATTTAAAAAGTGCGTTCATTTGTGTACCCTGCTAGTAAACTTCTATTGCACTAACCAAGATAAAATTAGAATGGGCCTGACACATTAAAGGATAGGGTTCTAAAATTTAGGTGATTTAATATAAAGTTACCTTTTAAATATAACCTTAAAAAGGCTGAGCCAATTGCAAGGCAACTTCCTTATAGAAGTCAATGAGAGATGAATATAACTGAGCTCAAAATGTAGCTAGTTTAACTTCAGACAAATTATTTTTCCCCAAGCTCTTTTCAACACTTAGGATTTGATTATACCTGGAAATGGATTGAAGAGACAGAAGTTGGTAGCTCTTAGAAAGTCTGTACAAAATGACAGAAATAACAGAGAAAAGGTCTAAGACTCTCTCTTCCATGAGTGCCTAGCGTTTTTTTAAAGCTCAGACAATTTGGGTACTGAAAAAGATCTCTAATGCTGAAAGGGTCTGAAAATAAGAAGAGTGCAAGAGGGGTACAGCTTTTGTAGACCCACTTTTTATTTTATCCTTTGATCATAAACGAGTAAGAAAAGTACGTGTTTCACGGAAATGATTCAATATCATTAAAATGGTTTGGTCAGGGAATAGAGTAAGGTAGAAAAGTACAAGTGTTAAATGAAGGAAGGAACTCCACGTCCATTTGTTTGGTAGACATCACCAGTGTTAGTTTCCTTTCAAGTTAATGTGCGATTATTTTTATACATGTTTTAATAATATTTTTAAATATCTCTCCATGAAAGAGGTGAGATTTGAAATGAGATCTTTTTCATAGCTCTAAAATGTTTTTTTTTCATATAATAATAATGAGATACTTGTGTTCTTATGCTTAAAGCAAAGAGTTACATTCCTATTAACATTTGTTTAACTAGGCTTCCATCACAACAGGTGCACAATTATTTTTATGAGTAAAATATTATCAACCTTCAAAATTAGCCAGGGCAAAATGCAAGTTGTCTGATTAAATAATCAGAGCTGATACTTAAAATACATTTGATTTCCACAGGAATTTTAAAATGTTAAGTCCTAATCTCTTATTCTGATGTGCAGAGAGAGTTGCAATTGTTTGTAGTATGTAAGTAGTAGCTTGTATTGTAACTAGTTTGCTATATTTCATATAATTCAATTGATTATGAAACAGATTACTAGGTTATTACTTCTAGTCTAACATTTTAATCTGGAAATGAAGTGGTGGTATGCTCCACATTAAATCAGTAAAAAAAAAAAGTGGCTCTTTCCGTTTGAATACTATTCTGCATTCAACTTAAAAGGGTACATCAGTTTAGAAAATTAAAATTCAGTCGTGTTTATTTAATTTGTGGGGGTTAAAAATAATAAGAATATGTATATTGGCCCATAAAATGTATATGGATATGTACACCAAAGTTACTGTATATATTGATGAACAATAAGAAATCCTAAATGGTAGGAAGCAAACATAAAATCAACATCCCCTTACCCCCAACTGAACTGAACAGAAAGCTTATCTAGGAGGCGACTTCACCATGTTTTAGAAGTGCTGCAGCAGTGTAGTTGTTATAAACCAATTACAGGCAGGTAACTGTTTTTATAGCCGAATCTGTTTGTCAATCATGGGAATGCAATGAATCAGGAGAGGGGATCTGAAATACAAACCACAGAGTAAGGCAGAGAATCTGGAATGGGTCCAAGCCACAAAAATTAGGGCAGGAGTATAGATGGGATTGAAACTATACATGTGCACATGGCTCCTGTCTTTGACTATATTCTTCAAATAGACTCAGAAGTAGAAATTATTAGAAATAAAATGTTAGCTTTGTATTGGAAACAGTCTGATTTTAAAGTTTGTTAGAAACTATTTGGTCACTTATAGGAGTGCGATTGTAAAAGAAATTTTCTGTACATCTTTACAACTGTAAGGCATTTTTAATATTGGCTCATAATCCTTCTTAAATTAATATTTTAATTTAATTTTTGGTTTGGAAGTATACTGAGATATACCTCTGACCATATTATAAATAGATAGGGTTTTACTACTTTGATATTCATCTACAGCAATTTCTAACTTATATACCTCTTTATGAAGAAACTTTGGTTTTTATCTGGACCCAGGAACACATTTTTACTCAAGGAAGTAAAAGCACCTCTACTGTTAAACATGTAGCTCTTGTGCTCAGGTTGCAGGATGTCAAGAGACAGCAAAGTATGTATACAAAGAGTGCTTTACGTAAGTCTATAGGGCTACAAGTTTTTCTAGTCTAAAATATGGGAAAACCTACTGAGACCCTGAAGTTTACCTTGGTAACTTCAAGGGAGCAAAAATAGAATTTTATTAAGAAAGCTAAAGAAAATGAAATGGGCACGACCATGCTGTGGTTTTGCTTAAACACAGGCTTTCACATCCATTGAGCGTTCTGGATTTCTTGTTAACTGGCTACTGAAAGGAGCTCTTTTATTTTTCCAATCATAGTTCTTTGTGCCAGTAGGCATTTGCCTCAAAGCATGATGGCTGTTCTCTAACCCTCACAGTTGACTGTTCATTTCTCAGCATGATTATCACGTTTTACTGTTGCCCTCCCAGATGAATGTTGAGAAGTGTTTTACAGGAATACTTGTTACTTGTCTCAAGTCTGTTTCTGTGCACTATTCAGTTTTGATGTTAGGAAGAAGAAGAGGGGAATCACCACTATCCGATATGGCTTTCTGTACCTGGTCCATTTTTCTTGAGTATTTACAAAGGCTTATTTATAATGGAATTTGAATTAATGATGAAGAAAAAAAGGAATAAGAAGTGATGAATGAGGTGAAATGAAATACTAGAGAAAAGAGATTTTTTTTTAAGTCTAAAAAGAAGAATTTGCTTAAGATTACAGGAAGGTGCAACTCCGAGCTGTTCCTAAACGGCCATCTTGGATCTGTTGGGGGGAAATAGGGGAGGGTCAGTGGGGTTGGGGAGTTGGGGAGAGATAGCATGGGGAGAAATGCCAGATATAGGTGATGGGGAGGAATGCAGCAAATCACACTGTCACATGTGTACCTATGCAACAATCTTGCATGTTCTTCACATGTACCCCAAAACCTAAAATGCAATAAAATAAATTAAAAAAAAAAGAGTCAGAGGTGGGATGTTTGCTGGACAGAAAGGAAGGAGAGGCCTAAAACATTAAAAGCTTTACTTGCTGCAAAAAAAAAAAAAAAAAAAAAAAAATTACAGGAAGGGCTCTGAGGGGATTCTCTGTATTATATTTCATAAACAAAACTGGAAGTAGGACCACAAAAATACCCTTTCCTGACGAACTGATTCTTATTGTGATTGACACTAAGAAAAGCTTTCTTTTTGGAACATTAATCTCAGAACCAGGAAGGGATCTTGAGAATTTATTTCATCCATCCCTCTGTTTTCCAGAAGGAATGCATTTGTAGAATCTCAGTCACTCCACAAATCTTTTTAACGTGCTGATTTATTTGCCCATCATTGTGTTAGGTTTTGTGGGGTTTATGTAATTTCATATTTTCTACCATTCAGACATGAGAAATTCCTATTTGTAAAGCCCTACCAAGAAGTGAGAGAGAAGGTGCTGACAAAAACAAGGACTACCGTTTTTTTTGGGGGGCAAATCCTTGATATCACAGTGACTTTGTGTATTTTATCTCACTTAATCCTCAAACCAATGCCATGAGATGGACATTATTTTCCTCCATTTACAAAAGAGTTAACAGAGCCTCAGAAAAATGAAATCATTTTGTTCAAGACAGCAAAATAATAGTGGCCAAACCAGGATTTGAATTGAGGACTGTATGATGCTAAAACTCATGCCCTTGTCACCAAGGTATACTAACATATCCTCCAGACATTATTGAAACACACTTCCTCATGAACTTTTCAAATGTATCATACTACTCTTTAACCTAAACAAACAGCAAAACAAAACCAAACAACAGAAACAGTGATTATCCTCTATATGAGAATGTCATACACTTAACTGTGAAATTTACTTTTCTTTTGAGAATGGTGGGATTAGAATTACAGAAAAAGCCTATAATTTTTCTTTTCAAGTTTCCCCTTTTCCATTAATTTAAATTTTTCATGTTTGAGGATCTTACTTCTCCTTTAGTACACTATGCTTTTCTAATTTGCTGTTAAGAATTATTTCATATTATTTTGACTTTCTAGAATAATGTGATCTACAATTCAACAGTGAGTCATCTCTGTTTCAACCCTGACAGTTGACAGGGTGCCTGAATATATCATGAGAGTATAGAATGCAAGCTTTAGAAACTCTGGATGCTGGCTAGACTCCTGGGATACTTACATTTTTAGCATAGAGGCATATATATTTCTGTGTTTACTGCAAAAACTTATGAATCATGAATAGAACTTGAGTAACAAATTGTGGTGTGGCTAATTATTAAATTAAAACTATGAGAAATAGTTCAAGGAAGATTGTCATCTGTCTTACAATGATTCCTTACCACTATTTCGTAATCTTTATCTCACCCTGAAATCTGTTAATTGCTTGATTGTCTTGATATTTTTCTATTCATACCATAATTTTCTGGTATCCCTGAAGATAGTTTAGGAAGTCAGCTTTGTTCTCTTTTGCTCATCATGATGATGAAATAGCTGGTACTTATGAAATAACAAGTGGTTTGAATTTGGGAATATATAGAGAACATTATTAGTTTGACTATTAAGTCATCAAATTGTCTTAAGCAGCTTCTACTTAAAAGGTTCCAGGGCTCGAGGGGAAAGCCAAAAGAAATCAGACTCAGGAGTGTATACTTGAAACGCTAACTTAGACAGATACTTTCGGTCTGGCTAAAGTCATGAATGGGGACATGAATACTGCATCTCCTTGCAGAGAAATAGAGTTCAGACAATCAACATTGGCAGCATAGGATCGGGGGTAATGGTTATTTAAGCAGTTGAGTCACTTTAATGGATCAGAGATGTCCAAGAATGTAAATTAGGAGAATGAAGAACATAAAGGCAGGTACCCAAGCACTTGTAACATTAGATAACAAGTCAAAAAGTAAGCTCTGTTAAAAATGTGTTAGCATATAAGACACAGAAGGACTAGGTAGTAGGTACCAGTAATTCAGCACTGAATGAAGAAGATAAATAGGTCACTACAAATAGTACTTGAGAGTGTTGTGACCTTTTGATTCTAGGGTGACATTGTTCAGTCCTAGCTACTGCTTAGTATAGTTACAGACCAATATTTCTGGCTAGATAGAAGGAAAAATTTTTAGACTATTCTAAACCTGTGTTGCCCAGTACTGAAGCTATTAGCTACATGTGGCTACTTAATAAATTTAAATCAAATTAACTAAAATTAACATCAGTTTCTCAGTAACATTGGCTGCAATTTTTTTTTTTTT